ATCTGCCATGGTCTCACAGTATCAGCCCTGTGCCAGCTCCTCATCCTCTGCAGATTTTCACAGGGGCAGCAGAAGACTCTTGGCAGACAATTCCTACTGAAGGCACGAGCCTTTCCTGCTCTGCTCCCCTGTGCCAAGCGCTGCCCCTGGCTTGCTCAGGGACCATTCTCGACTACTTACTAGAGAGTAGGTCTTTGGCATAAATGCTAAATGGGGAACAAGACAAGTTTCACAAGCAAACAGAAGGTATTACAAAAAAAAATATATATATACAGTAGGAGTCAAATACATTCCCCAAATGGAACAGCTGTGAACCTGACCCAACCACAGCACTGGTTCATCTGCTCCCACAGTCTCCCTGGTGTCAAAGTTCTGCTCCCAGCCAGCAGCACTGGGACAGGATTTGCCCCTCCCCGTGCCTGACAGTTATCGACTCTAAAAACAGCTTTCCAAACTTGATTGACTGGAACCCCTGCTGCATGCTGAGCCGGGCTGGCTCAGACATGCTTCAGAAGATGATAAGGAGATGACTGTGTTCTTAAGTTACTTTTTAGGAGGGTGACAAGTTATATGTGGGAACAAATATAATAGTTATGTTTCTGGAAAGGACAATGTTAAAGGCAGAGAGGATTTTTTTTCTGTGCTAAAGAAAATAAACCAATAGAGATTTTTTTAATCTCTTCTTTTTGTGAGACGTGCCCCAAGCCCACAACCCAGTAAGCAGCTCTACAAGAGACTTCTTCCGTCAGCCTAAGAGCGGGGACAGTGCTCTGCTCCCATCCTCCTTCCCTCCCACTCCCCTCTCAATCCTTGACTCCAGCTCTCAAGGGGAGCAGGACAATCCAGATCGGTACATTTTTCTAGGTCCATTTTCAGAGCAACTTCCAACCACTGGTGACCACTACACAGATTAACTATGTCTTCTGTCTGTACGGTTCCTTGTCTGTACGGTTTCTTTTCTAGTTCTCAGTCCAAGTATCTTCTTTTCCCAGTTTCAATCCACCATATTTAACCATTTATGCGTAATTTTTGGTATTAAACTACACGCACACAGTGCTAATCAATCTCTAGGACTCCTAGCCCAAAACAAGGACTTCAGCATTTCCTAGAAGAATACTTGAAAGTTACAGAACAGTATTAGCCCAGCTCCAAAGCAGAGCCTGCTCCACACTAGCCACTGTTTTCTATGATAAAAATCTGTTTGGCCACCGATTAGAGGAATAGTAACAAAGAAACAGAAGTAGCACAAGTTGGGGTGGGGGTTCAAAGTTTCCTCACCCCTCAGAATTGTGTATTCAGAGAGAGCAAGCAGGACCACAAACTCAAAGCTTATATCCACCACCTACCTCCAAGTCTGCTAGGTCCACACAGAACAGCCCTTTCACTCTACGCAGCATGACCGGCTGACTGTTATCCATGTCCACAGAAGTTTTAGCTGTTGCCCAACGCCATAAACAGTGCATTGTTATTCGTATAATCTCTTCCAGAACTAAAGGATTTTACAAGCAGTCATTATCCCTGTTTTAAATATAGGTTTTCAAAGAAAGAAAGGAGCCCGACAACAAGACAGCAATTATAATAGCAAGAGCTTTCAAGCTTCACAATGTCTAGAGCAAGTCACTGAGCAAAAATAGTCTTCACTCTGGACTGGAGGAGTCAGCAGATACTCTAAATTAGAGCCGGTGCTCTATTTCTGACAGGAGAGCCTGGGAGCTTCTGTGCTTCCCCTGCATGGCAGCTTTATTTGGGAGAGGACTGGGGGGGAGAGAGAGGAGGGGAAGAGGGCGAGAGAAAAAGGGCATTGTTTCTCTAACCGCTGAGCTAAAAAACTGCTTGCAATTAGGCTGTTTTTCAAAGGTGTTATGTCACAGATTAGCACAATCTTGAAATACTCCCTCCAGCAACGTTACAAACGCAGAGGAAATCAGAACCATTTTAAAAAAGCAAAAAACCAGGAACTTGGCCCTTTCTCCTGATTTGTTCCTGACAAGCAGTGGGCCACAGGAGAGCCCTCCTCCTGCACACACCTCCTGTGTTGTACCTGCTCTTTCTATTCAGGTCTCAGAGGTGCCCAGGGACAGGCTCTGCTGTCGCTGTTCCAGACTCTAGAGGTACTTGGCAACTTCTCCAACCAGTTTCAGAGCCTAAAAGCCTGAAGAAGAGCGCACTATGCCTAATATGAATACATGATTACATTTGTAGGGTTTTCCTTCTCTCTGTAGCACTGTTTGGAAGCGTTAAGAAGGAAACCCAGTATGACTATTCGATTTTACAGTGAGCTAACAGCATCTTAGAAGTGGGAAGTCGTTCCCCAGTGCATCTTGTACACCAGCCACAGAACCATCTATGTGACGCGAGTGGCCCCGTTTTCATTGTCTGACCTACTCAGCCATCTCTTTAACAGCTCCCCAACCACCTCGCTCCTCAGTCACCTCACAGGCAGTGTGCATAAAGCTAAGCGAAACCATTATATATTTCTTAATAACTAACCTAGTAAAGCTCCTTCTGTCAGTGATTTCCATTTTGAAAGCATTCAGCTGAAATTAAGTTTACATGCTGTATGAAATCTAAGCAACAGCAGGAATGATCCCACGACACCTGTAACATTTCTGAAAGGCAGCTCACAGACAAACATCATCCCTGCACTGTCTGCTGATGTCCACGCCACAAACACCAACAGTGGCTGCACTGCTATTTTCTAAGCAGTGAAATAACACAACAACAACAAAAAAAATCACTGCAAGAACAGAGCAATTAATTAATTTATTAGCCCATTTCCATTTCCCCCAGATTACAGCCTGTTCCAGCATGCCTACTCAAAAATAACTTTAATGACCCAATGGGTGTTGCAGTTCTCCTGTCCAGCTAATATAAATGCTACATAAGCTGTCTGCAGCTGCATGAAATGGATGCAGAACTTTTTTTAAAAAATAACCACACATTTGGAATCACAGAGAAATTCAAAAGCTTTGTACACCTCTTATTTTTCTGTCCCAGAGAACAGAAAGAATGTAGTTCATTACACTGGTCATTGCTTGGGAGGGGGTAGCAAGAGAGCACTAAAAAATAATAAACAGCTGGAAAATGTTCTCTTCCTGCCTTAGACCAAAGCCGAATTTGTTCACCCGTTTTAGTGACCACACATATGGAACGGCAGTCTCAACCCTGTTTGCTCCCTGGATTAGCAGGATGTGGCAGATTTGAACTGTCCAGCTCCCACCCCCCTTCCTCCACCCCTTCCCTTCATCTCTTCCCTTCCCCCCCCCCCCTTCTGCAGGCATCACAAAGGATTTTAAAAAGAGCTACAAAGACATTCTTTTAGGCTCAGGCAATTCCAGTAACCTTAGAAACCAGCAATAGTTGGGAGCCTGGCAATTTGGCCACAGCAACAGGCTGCTTTTCTGTTCTCTCACTGTCACTGCTGCACCTTTAGCTGTGCTAGCCCAAACCTTGCTGGGCTGGAAGGCAATATTCACCATCACATTCAAAATAAATAATAGGAAATAAAAGGTACAACTTGGTCCTGAACTCATCCTATTTCACCAGAGTCTGCTTAGTTACAGCAGGACCAAGCTGGAATAAGTTCCATGAAAATTTGCTGAATTTTTCACTCAGGTAGATTCCTGCTGAAGTCAAAGAAAATTTCTGCTCATGTAAGGATCAAAGGAAACTGAACGAGAACACGGTGATCTGGTCTGCAGAGCCAAAAATGGGAAAAATGGAAAAGGCCTTTTCTGCTGTTTAGCCATCAGTGGACTGAGCTCTACTTACATTGCCATGAATGTTACACTGAAGTGTCCCCAGCACAGAACCGCATGGGGAAGCCACGCACAGTCCAGACCCAAGGGAACAATCTGATGTCAGCACCCTGCAATTCCCAGTAACCACCTAATCGTGGCTGGGATTTCAGGCTCCTTTTCAAAAAAAAAAAAAAAAAAAAAAAGCATGTCAGAGACAGGAGCTGGGGGCCTCGGCTTATCTGCTCATTTCTGATTCCAGCAGAAGTGTCAGATTATTCCATGCAGGAGAGGCGTGATTTGCAGTGATTTGCATGTTAAGAACTAAACTGTAAAGATCAGAAGAAGCCACAGTCTGCAAGCACAAACAGCTGATGCTGGCCACCACACAGAGACCACAGGAGAGCTACTCATTCCATTCCTTTACACTGATGCAATGCTCTTTTATATCAATTTGAACCAGAGACTTTACACATGGCGGGGTGTGTGCAGTGTGTGTGTAAAATGAAAAAACCTCTGGTTTGTGAGCAAAGACTCCCACCCAGTCAAAATCCAGATCAAAATCCCCCTGCCCATTGCTGGGTTGCAGTTCACTTGGATTTTGTAGTTCAAATGCTGTGTGAGGTTACACAGTTTCAAAACCATCAGTCTGGGACAAACTTGTAAACTCTGACCCCTTTTGCTAGTCTAAGTTTAGAGGGACACAGTGCTATTGGCTATTTTTGGATCTCCACTAATTCATAATTGTGGCACGTATGCTTCTAGAAATAAGTAAGCTGTAACAACTCAACGTTTTTGTCCATTTGTTAGATGTGTCAGCGCACAAAATTGCAACTCTTGGTCCTTTTTTGGCTAGTACTGGACACAGAATCTAGTATGGTGCAATATTATTACTACCTAAAAGGCAGTAAGTGATTAAGTTATGGAGTCAATCTCAGACCTTGCAGGCAGGAGAGGAGGACCTGGTGATGCAGGACCTTTGTCTCATACTGAGCAATGAGTGTGCAGCGTTGCTTCAAAGGCCATTAGGAGAAGATCCCCATTAACTCTGGGAGAAGGACAGAGGGAAGGGAGTGTTTCAGCACTCCTGCTGGGTGATGGCTGCCTCTGGCAGAGAGGAAGCACCCCTTCCACCCAAGGTCCCCCGCGTACCCCCCCAGTCCCACCCTGCCTGAAAGTAACTTCAGGTAATTAACTAAAACCCAGCTGGGAATGTCTTGAAAGGGCAGGAGGGTTCTGTGCTGAGGGTTGTCTTCCCCTTACCTGTACAACTTCTTTCCTCACGTTGACAATGTCTAACCAGTCATTGAATCTTGGGTAGCTGTTGAGCTCTGCTGTCCTGTCATTCAGGGGCACACTCAGCTTACACTGCCGTTGTCTGTGGATGTAGTCAATCAGTTTCACCTGTTGGGATCCAGAAAGTAAACAGTTAAGTTCCTTGGGACATGCTGTCCCCTTCCTGGGCAGTGCTTGTACAGTACGAGCCAGAGAGATGCTGGTTTGTGAGTGGGGCTCTCACTATAGAAAAGTGATACACTCCTACAAGCACCCAGGGAAATTCAGACAGGGAAGCATTTCCCTCACACCGAGCATCTTCACAATATCGCAGCAGAAGGCAGGACCCTGCAGAAGGCACATCCCTGCAGGACTCTTCTCTAAACCCATATGAACAAATGTTCTGTGCAGAGGCTGGGTGTCATGCCAAAGTATGAAAGGGCATCCAAACCATTTGAAACAATTAATCACACTCAGTTTCAAGGCACTGCACACCTACATGCAGCCTCACTGTGGATTGCTGTGGGTATGGCTGTCTAACCTGCAGGACTACGTGCCTGCTCACCCGCTGCTCCTGCATGTTTGTTACATTCTCTTACATCTGGCCTTCATTTGGGCTAGAAGATCAGTGAGGAAGGAACAGCCAAAGTACCCAAAGACTCTGAGGCCCGTTATCTGATGGGCATTTCTAGTACAAAATACCATTAAAAACGATGATCTTAAAAGAACAAAAACTCAGGCAGCTGGACTAGACAATTGTTTAAAGTTTTCTATTCTATTCTAGAGTTTATTCCAAAGCTTTTATCACCTGACCATCTCATGCCAAATGCACTACACAGAAACCTTCACTTTACGTTTCTGTCTAGTGCACAGAAAAATAAAACTACAAGAAGGAGTATTATTTGTGTCTTATGTTTGCTTATCAAAAAGAAAACATTCTCAAAAGATGTCTCACTATGTCACACATTCCCATGGGGCAGACTTAAGCTTCAAAACCTTCCTAGCAAAACAATGCCTCAAAGCAAGTTAGTTGATCCGTGATTTATAAACCAAAACATGTTCTCAGTCAACAACTTTTAGCATTTGGGACAAGATCAGACTACAAATGTAAAGGAAAAAACAAACACAGATTATTTGACCACTGTAATATCTCTTCTCTCGAGTTTCTGCTCAAAATATTTTTGGTCCATGTATATGAATGATGCTATAGATGACTTGTATGCCCTATCTCAGTTATATATGGGAAAGAATTAGATCATCTCCTCCTTCCCCAGATAAAGGATATGCCAGATATTACAGGAAAACTAGATGCTGCATTTGATCTCAACTGAACGATGCCCATATGGAGCATAATGCTTCTAGCCCGCCCATCAGTTTGGGAAAGCTACTATTTCATAATAATGGTCCTAGAACAAATGCAAATTCTTCCTTGGCAGTATATGGGAATCATTTGTTTTGTTGAAAGCGGGAAATTCTTTCTCCCTCTCATCTTGTGTACTGTGACCCAGTCCTGCAAAAGTATAATCATAAGGTTGATCTATGTGCTCTTACACACAACTCTGTTAAATTAGGTAGGCTCTGCACAGGATAACAACAGAGCATGCACAGAAACAGTTAACTGTAAACAAGCACTGAGCAGGAGGACTTGTACTTACACAGAGGAGCTACACTCTGCTATGTTACATTGCTAATACTATTCTTTTTAAATGGCTGGCGAGACCGTGTTTCTAGCTGCAGTCACAATTTCTTGGGATTCAAGCCATTGTGAGTCTCAGTTTTCACGTATGGCTAAGTACTGGTAGTCAAGAGTAGGAAAAGCCCTGTAAGGCATCCCTGGCATGGCAACAGAGCGCAGCAACATTTCACTGAAGTGACCCCACCTCAGTGTTGGAGTCCAGCACATCCAGCTGGATGTTGGCGGCTGAAACTTCAAAACTAAGCTACGTCCATGTGAATGGAAGAAGCACACAGACCACTTGCACCGCAGCTGCGGCTGAAGCCAGTGGTGGTGGCAGCCCCCAACCCAAGCACTACACTGGATATTTCTGGGAGGTTGGCTGCATTCTAGCAGCAGAACCACCAGTTCTGGGTAATGAAGAAAGCCAGCAGCTGCTGGTAAGGCATTTCTAGCTTGTGCTTCCCTGTGAAGTTAGATGAGGGCTTTGTTTTATGGGCCATCTGACTCCTCACAACTATCAAGTGTAACAAGTTTGTCTCTGCCCACGTACTTCTGAATTCAGATAGCAGTGCCATCAAGTACGAGATTTGTCAAAAAGTGAGTTAATACAAAAGTGATTCAAACACTCCATGCAATGAATACAGAAATGCAAAACAGTGCCACTCTTAGGAGAGGCAGTTGTACCATAAACGGACTGCCATGTCTTAGAAGACTCAGCCATCCCTTTGCATTTACACTCTGACCACCCAGCTGAAACCAGAGGAAAGAACCTTTCAACCATTACTTCCTAACATGGCTTTGGAGCATAAGACCTAAAAGAAATCACCCTTGGAAATCCCGTTCAATTGTTCTCAGTATCAGTACCTCTTTTTATAAAAAGGGGATGATAGGACTTCCTTTTTTCCAGCCTCCTTCTGCCTTCTCCAGTCAGACCCCACACTGGGGAGCGGAGCAGGGCAGGCGGTTCTGCCGAAGCCGGCGGCGATGGGCTCAGCAGAGGCCTGGGCACCACCGGGAGCCAGGAGCCCGTGCCTGCGCCCTGCGCCAATTAGGGAGAAGTCAGCCCGCTCCCTCAGCACAGCGCCATATGCTCGTGTGACTGTGTGACTTTTAAACACTGCTGCAGCTCGTTCTGCCTGTACTCGTACTCTTAAACTTGCTGTCAGCTGTACTTCCTACACAGTTGCACCTTCAGTTGTACACATCCCTAAATTAAGATGTCTCTGGAGTACCCGTGCTCTGTTCCTGCAGAGTTAGCTCAGCACAGGCAAGGGGCACATATGATGTCACTGGTTGGCTTAGTCATGACCTTCTGCTTTCTCGCTGCTGTACGTATTTTCCCATAACAGCCTATCCAGCGAGCTCTCCTGTTCGCAGTCAGGTCAGAAATGAGCTTAGAGATGCTGTTCCAACTATCTTCCTACTAAGTGCTTGGTTTCAATTTTTTTCTGCTTCTCATTGTGCTTTTTCCTCACCTCATGGCTTGGCTTTGTATCATATACATTCTGACAGTCCAGCCAGCTGTCCACATGAGATGCAGTGCGACGCTGCAGATCCACCTCGCCGTTACAAACCAGCCTGCACACAGCTGCGGGGTAACTCCCGTATTCGGGGGATGAGCTGCAAATACTGTCTCCTATAGTTTAGATTGAACAGTATCATTGATCTTGACTGTGACTTTTGCCTATCTGTCCTAAAACTCCTTTTTTAACTGGAAAGACCTACATTCTCATCAACAGGGTTTCATTCTATTCAAGATACTTGGCCTGTTCTTATTGCCTCCAAATGTATCATGTTTGCATCCTGACTTTTTCCCTCAAAAGACATTAGAAAGGAAGAGATTAGAATGAGAAAGAGAGACTTTGCTGTGGATAAACACGGGAACGGGATAGCCAAAGCCCTGACAGGAGAAGTGAGGGGAGCACATTTGTCCTTCTCAAAGAAGAGGGGATCTTGGCAAGCCACGAGCTAGAAGTGAGGTTAACCAAGAACACAGACTGGGAACGAAGGCAATAGGAGCAATGAAGAACTGGTATGAATGGAGGGGGAAGGTCACCTTAGAGGCAGAAAAAACAGGTTGCAGGAAGTTTGAGGGCTACACAGTAGCCCCCAATATGCCAGAAATCAGCCTACATATACCAAAACCAGCTTCCCAGCATGCAAGAGGTATGTTGTGGAAAGGAGAAGGAAGACAGAAATCAGCCAAGCCATCTCTTTTTCTGAAGGCCATTCCAAGCAAGGTTCAATGACGATATGCACTTTGATATACAAACTGCAACCACAAAATCCAGCCAAAGGCAAACAAGTCAGCTGCGCATTTGTAAGCTGCGGTATGTAGAATTCCCAGGGTACTGTGGTATGTTCCTGATTCTTCCCGCAGGTCACCTCACCCCTTCCCCGTTCCTGGGCATACCTCGAGGCTGCTGAGCACTTTGGGAAAGAAGCAAGATTGCACAGTGATTTTGAAACTGGTACAGCCAGCCGTGACAGGCCTGTGTGTAAAAGTAGCAGCTCGGCTCCTCACCCTGATTGTAATCTGTTCTTTTAGTGTAGGACCTCCTATCAGGCAAGATTTATTTTCCTGGAAGAAGGATGAGATATCTGCATATTCTCTAAAGCTAAAGCTCCATGCTTAGTTATATGTAACACTAAATATATACAAATGCCTTAAAACTAGCACATGACCCTGCATAAAGCGAGGAACTGCAAGCGCTGACAGTGGCAAGAAAAGATGTGGGAATCCATTCTAAAAACCACAGCTGAAGGCAAGAAGGACTTAGCATCAATTTATAAATGAAAAATCAGAAACTGAAGAAAAGAAATTATACAAAAAAATGTATGCCCCACATTATCCTGTTACAATCTGCAGTACCACGAGGACAGTATGCTGCTCTGAGGAAGGGTATTCTTGAGGTACAGCCACTACTCTTGCATTCCTCACAAAAGTTCTCCTCACCAGTTTCAGTGTAACACCATCACATTTGATGAGAATGGGCCTCATCTCCAGGGAGCTGGACTCCACTCCTAGCTCTGACACTGACCTCCTGTTTAACTGTGAGCAAATTAAATAATCCGTCTCCTCTTCCATCCTGCATGTGGCTCTGCCTGCTTGTACTGCATAAACTCCCTGGAGCAGGCACTGTCTTCAACTATTTCCATACTGCTTACAAAAAAATGAGTTCAAATATTTTCACCTGACAAGTCTCATCCATAGCATAAACTCCTAACAGGATACTGCTGGAAGGTACTCCACAGCACAGATTTCAATGTCAAACTTCTCTTCTTCGTTGGGATATAACAAAAATATAATTCTCAAAAATGGAAAAGCAATCTGACAGCACAGATCTGAGTATCTTAGATCGCCAAGTCTGTTTTTCCCATGATAACTCCTTCACATTTACTCTCCAAGTACAAATTTGTTTTCCCCATGTCCTATAAATAGTGTATTTGC